GGGTTCATACACACACACTGACTGGACACTCCAGTACATGAACACTGCACTGAGAGAGAGAGGGGTTCATACACACACACTGACTGGACAGTAACTGACCGGCACTCCTTGGCCAGCAGTCTCTCCCAGTACTGGCAGTCCGCTGCGCTCCCTGACATGGTGCCCAGCAGGTAGGGGTTGATCTCTATCACCTTGTTGGTGTCCTTGGAAGCTGCAGAGAACAGACAGGGTGTCACACTGCTGTCCCATCCTGTAAACCAGGACGCAGTCTGGGCAGTTCTGTCCTGTGAGGTGGTGAGAAATGTGGGTTTGGCTGTAAACCAGGGCGCAGTCTGGGCAGCTCTGTCCTGGTTGACAGTCAGAAATGTGAGTTTGGCTGTAAACCAGGACACAGTCTGGGCAGCTCTGTCCTGTGTGACAGTGAGAAATGTGGGTTTGGCTGTAAACCAGGATGGAGTCTAGGCAGCTCTGTCCTGTGTGACAGTGAGAAATGTGGGTTTGGCTGTAAGCCAGGATGGAGTCTGGGCAGCTCTGTCCTGTGAGGTCGTGAGAAATGTGGGTTTGGCTGTAAACCAGGACGCAGTCTGGGAAGCTCTGTCCTGTGTGCCCGTGAAGATCTCGTCGCGGCACTCACCGATGTACCTCCCCGCCGAGGCCCGCGAGTCCACGGCCACCACCACGCCCCCCCGGAACTTGAAGGCCAGCGTGGTGGTGCCGTGCTCGAGCTCGATGGACACGCCGCCCCTGTCCGCCGAGCAGGACTGCAGGAACGCGGCCGGCTGGGGAGAGAGAGGGGATCGGCCATCAGTCAGGTGACACCCAATCAACACCCAATTAACACCCAATTAACAGCCACTCGCCTCCCTCAGGCTGCGGTCTGTTCCAGCTGTGCAGGAAGAGCTCATCTGTCTGTCTGCCTGTCTCTGTGCCTGCCTGTCTCTGTGCCTGCCTGTCTCTCTCTCTGCCTGCCTGCCTGTCTCTGTCTCTCTGCCTGCCTGTCTCTCTCAGGGTCTCTCTCTCTGTCCTGTGTGTCTTACACAGGGGGTCTCTCTCTGTCTTGTGTGACACAGGGTCTCTCAATTCAATTCAGTTCAATCCAAGGTTCTTTATTAGCATGACCGATGGGTACAATCAGTGTTGCCAAAGCAAATAAAAATAATAATATTAACATGGAACAAAACAAAAAATATTACATGTTACAGACATTTACAACAAAGACATATTATAAAATATTGACATATACTGTAGGCGGCTGGAGCATTATTGG